CTATGTTTATACACTAAATCATGCTTTGATAAGATGCATTTTCACATTACATTAGTATTTAAGACACTTTTTTAGTATAAATTATTTTCATCATTTCACTCCGCTGCAACAGTCAAATGAACTCAGAAATGTGTGTCACATAACTGTAATACGGTCAGGCTCAGCATATGATGGATATTGCAATGACCCATTACTCACACTATATCTAATTTAATATCACAAACCAGATTGTATATTGATAGTGACATATGGTCAAGTCTGCAATATAAAATTTTTTCCATTTAGCTGACGCTTTTATCCAAAGCAACTTAAGATTGCTATTTATTTATCTCAGAGGTCGCACGCCTCTGGAGCAACTAGGGGTTAATTGTCTTGCTCAGGGACACATTGGTGTCTCACAATGGATTCGAACCCAGGTCTCTCACACCAAAGGCATGTTTCTTATCCACTGCACCATCACCACTCCCATATGCATAAGAAATTCATTTAAGTTTTAGCTTGAACAAAAGCCTCCACTACATCTCTGTGTATAGAGTTGGCCAACATAATGAACTAAAATGACATAATGGATACAACAGATGTGAAAGTTGTCAAAGACAAGAAGTTGCTCCAATCGACATTCCTGACATAATCCTTTTCCTGGCCGCCTCATTCATACTCACAAGCAGGCAAAATTCTTAAGAAAGAGGGGAGGGAAAACATGGTCACATCCTGTGTGGGCCTCAGGAAACACAACAGTGACCCTGGTGCATTGTTGCTACAACTCAATAATACACAAGCTGTGTGGAACACAGACTAATATAAACAGTGCGCTCAACTGCAGGATATCAAATGAAATAGCTCATCCACATTTCAGCATCACAAAATCTGATGTATTCAAACAAATGAGGACAGGAGAATACAGTTCACAGTGCTTGCCGCACAGGGCAATAGTTGGGAGTTTTATAGGACTTATCTACTGCATTAATTGCTGGTGCTGGCATTTGAAACAGTGCAGCAACGACTAGTTGTTTATTGTAAAAATTAATTGCCAACTATTTGGATAATTGATTCATCATTTTGAGTCTTTTTTTATTTGATTTGAGCTTCTTAAATGTGAATATTTGCTGTTTTTCCCCCTCCTCTCTGACAGCAATAATAATAATACTACATTTTATTTATAGGCACCTTTCTGAACACTCAAGGTCACCTCACAAAACATAATAAAACAGTACAGCAATAATTGATAACCAACTATGTACAGTAAAAAGATATTTGAGATATTGTCTTAGGCTGTGGGAAAATTTGACATTTTATACACCAAACAACTAATCAAGAATATAATCGACAGATTAATCAACAATAATTGTTAGCTGCAATCCTAATTTCCACTAAAATTAAAGTTGAACTATGACATGACTAGGTACAGGAGGACCTTGGTAATCAATGAGATGATAGCCTACTGGCAGATTTTCTTTTAAAAATTAAAAGTATCTTGCAGCAAATAAATAGATCTTTGGTGAAAATAGGATCTCATCTGTGCTAGCTGCCATGGTTGAGATTCTATATCCTACAAAATGTCAAAATAATTTTCTGTACTGCACTGTTCAGCACCACTTATTACAGTGTTCATGTTTATAGTCACTACTTTTAAAATGTTGTGTCAACTTATGATTTGCTCCACTGCTTCTCCTACATCTCCTCTCAGTAGACAGCTGGCATTTGTGAGAAATACATAGTATTTGCTTTGCTCTCAAGAAAAATACTGCCAATAAAACATTTATCTCTTGGATAAACCACTGACTTACAGTATTGCTATTAATTTCTGAAGATTTGTCTGAACTTAAATGTCACCTTACTGGTCACACAATGGTTCTGGTCAGCATGCACAGCCACAGATGACATATGTATGACATACCCTTAAAAGAAGGTTCAAGACAAAGGAACCCACAGCACAGAACCCTTTGTTGTATAGTCATTTAAGCTAGTTTCCCCTTGCGGGATTAATAAAGTATATCTTCTAAGTTAATGACTTAAATCCTACTGATAAAGGCAGTGGCTCAGTATTACCTGTAAAAAAAGCTATCACCTTACACAACAAAAATTGTAAAATAAAATCCAAAAAGAGAGCAAGTCCACACTGGCCTTCATTTAACTTCTGTATTGTGCTGTTGTGGAAGAACAATGGAAAATAAAAGGTATCTAATTGTGAGCTGACATGATGGTTTACATTTATAATTTTACTCCAGCAGACAACAAGATCTTGAATTAACGTTGAGCAGCTGCCTGACAAACATTCCACAACATGGGGTCAGTGAATATTTGTTTTTAAAATAATAGGAAATATAATACTGATAATAACTTTAAGGCAGGGTGAACAAATACCACCGAAACTACTGAATGTACCAGTATACATTTCCCCTAGCGGAGGAAAAGTAAGCCACCCTGCTGCCTGGCATAAAGCATTCATCAGGTGAACTTCAGATGCTGTGGCTGAACGAGATGAAAAGCCACCAAGCCTTTGTCATGAATGAGGGAGGAAAAGGGAGGAACAACGCATGTAAAACGCCATTCAGATACAACTTACTGACTAATTTTATTGCGATGCATCCTGAATGGCACACGTATGCGGATATACACTGTTATGATGCGTAACAATGTCACCGGTCATCTACAGTAACAGGTGTGTAACTTAGGTGGCACCGTTTGTCAACACATTAAGGTAAATACCTTCAGGTCGCTCATCACTAACGACACCACTGTTGCGCTCCCTCTTTATTATGCGTATTAATTATCTTTTTATTTAAGATTAAGGACAGGCAGCCAGATTGCTACGCAGCAGTGCAGATTTTGTTTGCAAATAAATGATGGCGACTGTAGTAGGTGAAGCAGGGTTAATCGCGTATATTGTCTAGCGTGCTAAAGTGAGCAGGGCACCGCACGCGTTGTTTTTGTCGGGACAGCTGAGCTCATGAGCGTGACTGAACCGAAGCTGCAGCTGGTTAGCTTACCCGACTAAACCAGATGCTGAGCTGCGTCTCTGACAGCACTGCGAAGTAAAACCTCTGGGAGCTGGGCTGGATGTGGAAGGGCTCCTCTTCACTTCTCAGCGGACAAAGCAGCCTCCGGGGCCAGCCGGTGAGAAAATACATGACGGCAAACTCACTCCGCTTCGACACTCCAAACAGTGTCGCAATGCTAGATGGTCTTTGCCCCTTATTCCTCCGAAGGTATTTTAATCCAAGTGAGTCACGGGCATTGTTTCCGTAAAAATGAAAACTTTAATATAGGTGCATGCAGTCCAGGGTCCACTGGTCTGGCTATCAATCCATGAATGCCGCACAGAAAGATCCCAGCAGCCGATGGAGCTACACAGCTAACGTTAGCTCTGGGCTAGCATTGGCTTTCCAACTTGAAGCTAATGAGCTGTCCAAGGCAACGACACTAACCGAAATCAAAAGCAACCAGGCCTGCAGGGACACCGTACAGCACCGAACTAGCGTATTGCGGCTGACAAATAGATCGGTTAACTTTCGTTCCCGCAGCGGTGTCAGATCTTCTGCTGTCGGGACCAACGGTGTTTATTAGCGGTAAAGCGTCCAGTTTTCACTCCTCTGTGCTGCTTCGCCGTCGCCATCTTTACAAGACTCTGCCGACTCAAAGCTGATTGGCTGCAACGAAGACGTTTGCGTCGTGTTGACATCTGACGTCCACTCTCCGTTATGTGAAACCGTGATTAAAACGCGGCTGCGCAGAAAGCAACATGGCTCGGCACTGACATCTGGCGGTGTAAATGAGCCATGCACGGGAATCAAAACATTTTACTTATCTCATCATCAGTGTGGCCCTCAGACTGATCAAGCACCGGCTGGTTTCTATAACTGCTCTGGCTTGTACAACACAACAACAAATTATTACTTTATCAACACAGAGGAATTTAGTTTGACGTGATCACAGCCACAGCTACAGAGTAGTTCAGTGTTCTGTGCCAGGACAGTTGAGTATAGGGTTCATTCACAGGGTTGAAGAACAACATTTAAAAAACATCCAGTTCCACTGTGACATTTTAAACATTTTGGGTATTTGAGTAATTGCAATGACACCACTCCTCTTAACGTTTGCAGGATAATTTTACCAACTAAAATTTAAACATTAATAGGCATCACTATTTTATTCCATCCCTCTACAACTACTAATGTTGTTTAATGTTTCTTCCCCTCTCATCTTCCTTACTTCAATTCAGCAAGCTGAAGAACTTTGAAAATGAGACACTGGGACAGACGACAGGGAAGCTATTGAAAATAAATGCTGAATTTGGCAAAATATTAACATTTTATTAATTTTCACTATAAACTAATACCGAATTGTATTACTAGGCTGGACAAATGAGAGGCACCTCTTTTTATTGAATTTTAGTGCCTCGTTTATATGAATATTTTTATGGCTTTATTGAAAGAAAAAATACAATAAAGACAAATAAATCTGTATGTTTGACCAAACATTTTAATTAAATTCTAAAAGTGACCCGTGGAAACAGTTCATAGTGTGCTTTAAAAAAAAACTGTTTTGCATAAAAGTATAATGCACGAACATATTAATAATTAGGCCTGCGCACTTTTGAATTAAATAATTGGCTATATATTGAAACGCTTATTTTAAACATAGATCTAAAATGCATATATGTTTATATTATACCTTACATTATAAATGTGCAAGACAAATATATATGCGACATATTCACACTTAAGGTTTTCCATATAAAATAAATAATGGAATCTATTGTATGCACCTTCTAAGTTACTAATATTATGCTGCAAGTAAGAACATATAACTGTAAATACATATATGAAACAAATATCTGAATCTCAAATATGTTCGTAGATGTATATATATGTTTTGTATGGGCACACACACCACCACTCGCTGACACTTTGTTAAACTGTTTTAATACTAACGTCAGGTAGACACAACATTCTGACTCGTACTGTAGGTGGCGGTAAAACGCGTGCAGTTGTTTACCAACTACAAGAAACAGAAGAAGAAGAAGCAAAAGAAGAAGCATGGCTGCTGACATGAGATTACCAACTATTCGGAAACCAGTGTCGCTATCAGTTTCTGCATTTGACCGAAAAGATCTGGTCGTCCCCGGCGATGTTATCACTTCAGACACTGGCTTCATGAGGTAGGTGCTGGCTGGTTCACTGGTCGTGTGATCGGTTACTGTCTGGGGGATGTGGGCACACACACCATGTTGTCATGGAGGGAAATCAAATAAAAGGAGCATGATAATCGATTCTTGTAGCGATACCTTGGTTTTAAAGCTGATTCAGAAAAGCTAGGCCAAACTTGACTGCCAGTAAAAAAATAAATAAATCAATAAATCACTTGGGGAAAATCTACCATAAGAACCATGAACCACCAATAACCATCATCAGAAGCACCGATGTTTATGGTAGCCTGCACTAAAAAGGTTCAAGCTCATCTGGTTGTACTCTGATCATAATAATGTTAGTTTAGCTGTTTACCAGTTTATGACGATTTAAACATTATGCCCAGCCTGTACTTTCCAGACAAACAGTCTGGTGAGCCAGACATCACAAACAGTGGTCAGTGTAAATCCTCCCACCTTCTCAGGCTGACAATACAATATCTGATGTAAGTTCAATTGTGATAGGGACTCAGAACAGGAACACAATTAGAATTGAATCCTTTAAAATTGTGTCTATGTCCTCTATGAGAACTATCCGGAGGTCATAGTTAACCCAGCCTTTTCTTTACCACATTTCTGTTTTGCCAAATGTATTACTCATCATTGCTATACATCATTTGCGGTCTCCCCAGGGGTCATGGTACCTATGTTGATGAAGATAAGCTGACGGCTTCAGTCGCTGGAGAGGTGCAGAGAGTAGACAAGCTGATCTGTGTCAGACCACTCAAGACCAGGTAAGTGATTAAATTGAGGTTCTTTAACATTCACAGTAAAAAAATTGAAGTGGGCCTAGTGGTACTCAATTGACTGGTGCAAGGTAGCGGGGGAAATTAAAGTCGTAAAGTCTAGAGGGCATTTCAAAATTGAGAAAAAATATTGTGGATCGTGATTGAGATTAAATAGATTGGGATATTATTTTTTTTGCCAGTGTGTGCAGTAATTTTTATTGTTGTATTGTGCTGATGCTTTTGCAGAAGTTATGCCTTTATAATTTTGTTGTATGATCTTGAATTGCAGGTTCAACGGCGAGGTTGGAGATGTGGTGGTTGGCAGAATCACAGAGGTAAGGCCCTGCCAGGAACATCTCATATGTGATGTCTGACATTTTAAAAGTAGCCTAAAAATGTATGGTTACTGCAAGCTGGTGTCATTGTGGGTAGCAAGATATTTGATTTTTGATATGTGTGTTTTTTGTGGTAGGTCCAACAGAAACGGTGGAAGGTGGAGACCAATTCCCGGCTGGACTCTGTCCTCTTGTTGTCTTCTGTCAATCTGCCTGGAGGAGAGCTGGTGAGATGCTAGAAAATTTGATTACAAGGCCGATGTCTTTACACTGTTAGCTGAACTAGCGTTAACCTAAAAGACAGGGAGATGGGTTTGGATGGGGAAGATTGTTAAGGACCAACTTTATTTAATTTATTGTTTAAAATATTTTATATGATTTTCTCTTTTAGAGGAGACGATCAGCAGAAGATGAGCTCACCATGAGAGAATACCTTCAGGAAGGCGATCTCATCAGTGTAACTTACAGTTTATTAAAACCTTTCATTGGCTGCTCCGTCTTATTATTCTCACTTATAATGTTCTTGTTGCTTGTGTTTTTTTAGGCAGAGGTGCAGTCTGTCTTCTCAGATGGAGCCCTATCACTTCACACTCGTAGTTTAAAGTATGGAAAAGTGAGTTATGCCAACATACATGATCACATAATATCCTAAATATGCACATTTTGGGTGATGTAACCACACACTCAACAATGCCACTAGTCTAGCAACTAATACATAATTGAGTACACATGAATAAAAAAGCAAAAAAAACTTTTAGTAGTTACTATTAATGAAGTGATTCATTGGTTAGTTACAGTCTTTGTTGGAAACGGTAATGAATGTAAAAATAACATCAGTGCCAGATGGGAGACTAACTTAGTGACTTTCACCTTTCATTGCTGGCTCCTTTGTATTCACTAAAAGTATAGAGGCTAAACAAATGGATATAGTCAAATTAATGTAGGGAATAATAGAAATGGAAAGCTCTTTACATTTAAAGCAAGGCTTAAATCAGTGTAATTAATCATATCCTATGTATATCACAGACTGAGTGCCATAGTGACTTGACCTTGATATGTACCATTACATTCTTGTGTTACAAAAAAATGTAGCTTTCATTGTTTAACTAAAAAATACAGCAGTAATACATTTTCTTCTATCCTAATATGATCTAACATCTGGTTTCCACTTTGTCTGACAATCAGTTGGGTCAAGGAGTGCTGGTACAGCTCTCTCCTTCTCTGATCAAGAGGCAGAAAACACATTTCCACAACCTGCCGTGTGGCGCATCCATAATCCTTGGGAATAATGGCTTTGTCTGGTTGTATCCCACACCAGAACAACAGGAGGAGGAAGCTGGGGGCTTCTACACCAGCCTGGAGGTGAGAAAGAGCATTATATTGATGAATACACATTTGGATTTAAATTAAGAAGTTATAAATGCACCAGTTTGGAGGTGGGAATAGAAATATTATTAAAATACTGATGAGCACAAATTGTTTTAGAAATTCACCTAGTCTTCTTTTTACGTACTCTTACAGTACAATATATGTACAATAATCTGCAAAGAAGAGAAACACAGATACATTTTACTGCATCCAGATGGTATATCTGTGTATATGTTGAACATATTTGTTTGTGCATCTCCCGTCTCTATCCTTTCAGCCGGTTAGTCTGTCCGACCGAGAGGTGATTTCACGGTTGAGAAACTGCCTACTGGCTTTGGCTGCACACAAGGTCCTTTTATATGACACCAGCGTTCTCTATTGCTACGAATCTTCAGTTCAACACCAGGTAGGAAGCAATTTGATACAGTTTTACGCACATTTGTGACACTTACTTCAGTGTGTGATTGTTTTGGAATGAGACCCACTGTCTTACAAATGTAAAGCAATGACAATATATTGAAATAAAAAAAGTGGACTTTCCCATTTTGTGCCATCTGGTGGCCATATTGGAAATCTTCAGCAACAATTGATTACAGTTCTCAATTTTGAATCAGGCATGGTTGATTTCATGGGGGAACTGATGACCTAATCACTAATGCTTCTTGTAAATATTGTGATTATATAATATCTGCATGTTAGCTCATATGCTATCGCCATATTGTTGTTTACACATCTGCATGGCACACAAATCATGGACATACTTAGTTTTGGTCAATTGTTGAACTAGACATACGTTTGCAACATTTTCTCTCTTGCTAATAACCGTAGTTAAACCCAGTTTTTTAATGGGTTACTAAACAGTCTTCTCCTAAGCTACGACTAAGTCTGTGTTCTTGGTTTGTCTTGGTAATAAAAAAATGTTTACAGCATTCACAAATGTGATCATAAATCGGCATTATGCGTCATTCTGCTTGTTCATTTTTAGTGGTGATTGTTTGTTACATTTTGTTTAAAAAGCCTGTGGTATGGAAATATTGTCCGGTGTAACTGATCTAAAATTGTCCGCTTTATGCTGACTCTGTAGGTCAAGGACATCTTGAAACCCGAAGTGATGGAGGAGATTGTAATGTTAACACAACAGAAGCTGTTGGAACAGGAGGGTTAAAGAGCACAAATCCTAACTGTGACCTCACAAAACCAAGAACCCATCAATCAGCTGTGTCATGGACTGACCACCTATCTGAGTCTAGTCTATAGTGCAGTTGATTAGCTCTAAGTATATTTTATCTAAAACACTGTTCATTGCTAATGGATATGATGGGTAACTTCTTGGGTAAATTCTTTCTTGGGTAAATTCTGCAACATTCAGAAATCACAAGAGCAGCTGTCGTTAAGTTTTACAAATGTATAGTAATACACTTTCCACTTGATACTGTGTGTTGTATGCAATAAATGTTCTGTCATTTTCAGTACGTGTCAGTGTGGTGTGTCTTGTTGAATAATGAAGAAACAGAAAAGAATACATGTATGGAAACTTAGGTCTTCAAGGTTTTTAGATCATGTATTACATACAGTACATCTGAAAAATGTTTGTTTATTGTGAAATAAAACAGTACTGACAAATTACATATTGTATAACACCGGATGAACTGTGGTGGTGAAAGTGGTATGGCCAACAAGAGCACAACTGATATATTGAGGTTATTTTAATACTTGGATTAAATCGGTTGGCTATCTGTACATAGTTCATGAAAACTCAACAGTGTCATCGTCTCATAGGATGTGTGTCAGATTTTGTTTTGCTGTATGTGAGTTGGAGGAGCAGAGGTCAAAATTAAACTTTTGTTCCTTTAAAAGAATACATCACCTTGTAGAGAGTAAATTCTATTGAGTAAAAACAATATCTTGGTAGTGGAGTTGGAGTTGCTGAGTCCTGCACTCCCAGCATAATCTAAAACTTTTCTGTGGTCCCATGAACTAGCCCACGCACGCACGTGACGTCAGACGTCGCCCCACCTACATATTTCTGTAAACCACCTTGCGTATGGAAGTATGGCGGCACCAGCGACACAGCTACTACTCGTCCAAAGTTTGTTGCTCAGATTTTCACGTGAGAGCGATGAATAAGTACGCGAACCGGGGTGTTGGTAACGAAGAGCTCGGCGACTGTCAGCAGAGGAAAGGACTTGCAGAAAGACACGTCGGTCTCTGGCCGACTGAGTTTCCTCGATTTCTCTTCACCTCCTCGATTGAAGTGCCTTTAGTCCGGGTACCACAGGGGAAGAAACTCCGCAAGACGGGAAGAGTGGACACGGAAGTTTGAAACTAACTGAAAAACTGTGGCTTTGGAAAGACCACTTTCCAAGCATTAAGTGTGGTGACCAGAGATGTTTTGTTGAGACACGGAAGTGCACTTGTCCGATGTTTGTTACCAGCGCTTTAAAATCGACGCCGCAACTGTTAAATGCTCGATGTACATTTGGGTCTGGCGCTGCATACCACCAGCTAACGTTAGTTAGCCTCCATGGCTACCTTCAACATTGGCTTGAGGTCGCCAGTTAACCAACAATATAAATGTCTATATGGCCGTGTAAGTTTCCGTTTCCCACATGTCTTTATTCCATAAGTTTTAACTACATAGCAAGTTTGAGATATGAGGTGGAAGCCTGCCATTTCAACTTAAGTGGTTATTTATTGCTGGTCATCTAATGTTTTGGGCATTGTTTTTGTTTGGTCAAGGATAATATTTAATGCTCCGCTGCAGTTAAATGATATTTTGGTTTTACATGTGTGTATGTTTTAACATTGTTTTGTATTATTATTATTATTATTTTGTACGTTTTTGTTGTTGTTGCCAAACAACACGAAATGATCTGATGTGTAGCCTGCAGTGAACTGACTTTTAGCTTGTCATTTAAAGAGCCTGATTGGCATTAGAGGAAATTCAAGGGGCGTACATCCTGGGTATAACGGAAGTAAATGGGGTTGTATAGAGAAAGAAGAACAGGTAATGAAGGTGAACTGACAACATAGTTTAAGTAGGACAGTTTAAAATCAAACAAGAGCATACTTTTGACATTTGAGCAACTTATCAGACAAATTTTCTTGGATACGTTTTTAATTCAACCCTAGGATGCACATGTAGCTAATCTCATTCATTGTGAGGGTGTTTTCAGTCAGGATCACTTGTACAGTATACAGTCACTCTTAATGAAATCATCAGTGAGTTTTGATTGTTTCCCCCCACCAGGTTACCTTGAAATTCCTTTCTTTGACCTCTGAAGCACTCAGGATCCATTAATGCACGATACACAGAGACATACTGGAGTAATACGGATCTGCATAGCTGACCCGCATCACCCATACTCCAGGAGAGGACAGGCTGAGCCAGGGAAAGGGCTTCCTGTCTTCTCCTGATCCCCATCCCTGCCTGGTGGCCAACTGTTGGACGGTGAGCAACAGAGTCCAGCTTGGAGAGACCCGGCTGCGGCCTGGCACCCTGCCCTTATGGGGCAGCAGCCGGGGAAGTTTGTAGGGGACCAGAGGAGACCCAGTCTGCCGGCCTTCATCAAGGGTGGAAAGAGAGAGTCGTCACGCCATGGGACCCAGCCCTGTAATGTTTTTGCTGTGCACGGTAAGAATAACTGTTCCTGAAAATATCCTCGTCATTGACAGCATATCTGTTTACTTAGTTGTATGTTTGCTTAATGAGAATGTTGGGGATGAGCATTGCAGCCTTTTCGAGCATCATGTGCCCCCACCACTCTTCCGTCTTGTGCTTCCTCTAGTCCGTCTGCCACTTTACTTTTTAACACGGTGAATTACATAATGAAAATCAGTGGACTGGACTGACCTTTGTACCTTTTTTAGGGACAAAAGTGGATGGGTGGTATTCACTGTTGTGAAAAAGCAAGAATCTATGAGAAAGTGGAGTCACTTCCTAGCATGCAATAATACATTTTAACTGTTTATCATCAGACTTACCACACATTAATAATACGAGCAGCACACAATGCCACTATTTGCTGTCAAATTTAACACAGGATGACACTAGAGATGGTATGATGAGTCTGTACCTTTTTGATTGGCCACTTGTTTGGTCTTTGTTGTGATCGGTTGTCTGTCACCAACTAAACGCCAAAATCTGTACCTCTAAAAAGCCTGTTAAATTTAAGAATAAGCTGTTAATCTGCAGTTGATTGATATTTGCAGACAGTACAGTAAACGTTTACAGAAGGTTCTTTTTGGATTCTTTCCGTTGACATTTGATTACACTTACTTCCTGTTTTAGTTCAGTTTAACAGCTGTGCTGAAAGTAACACCTGATACGATTTAACTGTCTTAACATTTATTATATATATTGTATGTTCAATACATTATTTGTAAGAGAGAAGCCCTACACTCTTGCCAGCGAATATGCAGAAATGAAGGAAAGCAAATGGAGCCTTTAACAAAAACAGTTAAACCTGCAACACAACGTTAAATGTTTTCATGAATCCACAGCTGAGCCATTAGATCAAATATCAGAAATACACCAAGTCTGGCTAGTTCTCTGAATGCTTTTACAAACAAGTTCCGTAACACAGAGAGGACTGCCTTGTTAAATTAACTAATGTTACATCATGGTACTAACTGGTAACCACCCCCAGCAACCGATGTATGCGCTCCTCTCAACTTAGTAAGTTCGCAAAGTCTGGTGTTCTAGACTTAAACAACTAAAGACTAACTTCCCATCACAAGTGCAGTAAGGCTGTGCACCATATGGACAGAGGATTCTATAAGACAGCTTTCAGCATGGGGCAAACAAACAGTAAAAGATAAGTCTGCCCCGTCCTTTCTCCTGCTCTTACTAAGCCTGGATGAAACAGATGAACAAGAAGTCAGAAACAACTATTAAAGAATACCTTCATATCTGTGATGTAAAGGAGCTTTTGTAGTGTGGCTAAGCTCAACAGTGCCGCCTCCTGTGTTTGTACAGGACGGTGTGTACACACTACACACCAATTGCTATATGATACCTCGGACATGGCAGGGAGCATACAGGCTGTGTCTGAAATGAAGGCTGCAACTATCCATTTTTTGTTATGGATCATTCTGCAAATTTCTTTCTCAATAAATTGATTACTTGTCCCATCACGACTTCCCAGAGCCCAAGAGAACCTCTTCAGGTAACCTTTTTGTCTAACCAACAGACCTAAATGAAAATATTCTGTATGCTATCATATAAGAATCTTGGAAGCAGGAAATGTTGGGCATTTCTTTGGATTAATCAATTATCAAAATAATTGCAGATTCATTTTCTGTCAGTCGCCTAATAGATTCATCTTCAAATCTTTTCAGCTCCGTCTGAAATCAATCACTATTAAAGAAATAGTCGACTACATTTTGTAGTGTTGTTTGAATGTGAAGTGAGAGTAATTTGCCCAATATAGTGAATTCAAAGGATCCCACAATGCATTGTGAAATGTACTGTGCAGTTGATTGTCAGAGAGCACACACAGAGAAAGACGACAAGTTTAGATGGCCACCAGGTAAATAGATAGCTGAAATAGTTAGTGAATGATTTCGGACACAGCCGTAGTAGCTACAGGTGCACCTGAAACATGGCCCTGTCTGAGTGGGCTAATCACGCCTATGCTTCACAAGGGAAACGTCACTCTTCAGGGAGCCTGTTTTGCCTCAGGGGAAGGCTAGCATGCTGCTGGCTCAGAGCCTCACCATGCTTTGCAAAGTACCCAATATCCACTGTGTCTCATTGGAGATAGGTGTATTACCTGGTGATGTTTCTTCCTAGGCTTGTGCATGGCAGTTCACAGAAAACAGACTTTCATAGCAAGTTTTATTATTTACTAGCTTTGGCTTATGGCAAAAATGCCTTTGTGGTGGTCTATTGCCCAGAATAGTACAACAAGGTATAGAAATGCTTGTTCTCTACTATAAGTCAAGATTAAAAAGTTAATAGATTTTCTTTTTTGCATTTATGCCTATAAGCTTGTTTAATAATGAAACTAGTGTGGATCTAGAAGTGGATCATAATATTTCTATTTCAAGACATCAATGGAAAGTATAAAGTATACAACAGAAAATATCAATACAGAACAAACGTAAAAGAAAGAATCTCCACCAATTCAGAGAAATTATTGTTTCATTTAGAAAAGTCACTTGCCATTGAACCAGATGCATGCCATGCATCCAGCTAACTGATAAGTTTACCAAATGTGTCTGTAGGGCTCTGACTGCCTTGGCAGGAATACTTTCCACTGACTCTCAGTCTTGCATAACACAGAGGGGGACAGGACAGGGAAGGTCAGAAAAACAGAATGCAAGCCTTTGCCGGTAAATGGATCGAATCTGGCAAAGGGTCAGTGACATGGGCCATACTTGTTTTCTCTTTCTACCCCTCTCCTCCTGTGATGAGAGGTTAGTCTATGAGAGGGGATGTGAGTCATAGTGCAAGAGGAGGGCAATATCAACACATGATTTTACATTTGTGTTTTCTTTATCTTCCTGGTGAGAACCCAGCTAGTTAACACAAGGCTGGCCAGCACCATGCTGCTTCTCAGCAGGCAGGTTCAGACCTCTGCATGCAGCTGCCTGGGAGAGAGACGAAGGCAGTGAAGGGCAAGCAAAGACCTGCCTCTCTTGCTCTTGGCACCTCTGTTTACTATACAGTGGGGAAGTATGATCTCACTAGCTAGCTAGCATAGATTATAAGGATTGAGCAGGGTGGTGAATTTTTGGAACCATAACTCGCACACTGTATTTCCAGCAGTTTATTCTGTGCCTGGTTCAGATAAGAGTGTCCCCTTCACTTGACTGTGGATTTCCATGGATCATGGACAAGATTACAAGCTGCAGTAGGTTACCAGGCCTGTTCATAAAACAGGTCTGTGCACAACAGAAGAGTGTACTTTGTCACTTTTTTCTAGTCTAACGTTCACTTGTCCATCATGTTTACTTGTAGATACAAAAATGCATTATGGCTATTTTACAGCTGTTCTGCTGTGGTCATTGCTGATGTTTAGCCACTTGTAGCTACTAAAAATTTAACATCAGTTTTACAGTTCAGTTGTTAATTATTACTATATCTGTATGCGGTCTACTGCAGCTTGTCTCTGCCACACCAGTGCCATTTTTGGGAATGAAATTCCAAAAGTAATAGTATTTAATTTTAAATTATAAGGTAGTGTAACCATGATTGGTGTTGACAGAGACTTTGCTTTAGTTGGAGATTTTTCTAGTGACCGCTTTTATTACACTCAGTAAAGCACACGTCCGTCAGGGATGCACCCTTCCTCCTTCCACCCTTAGTTTTAGTGTTAACTACATAGGACAACAATTTGTGACACCTGGCAAGTCTAGGATCTTTTTGACTGGTTACAGGAAGTAGAATTGTAAAAGTATTCAACGAAAGAATGTTTCATTTCAGTTGTTTTCCTGCCATTCCCTGAAAAGGTCTGACAGAGGAAAGAGGAAAGCAGAGCGGGATGGGTTGGAGTGTTCAAAGGAAAGAGGATCTACTTTTTTTTTAAGGCTCTCTAAAATATTGTCTTATTTGGAGGTAACTTACACACATTTAATGTTTAAAAGGTGATTTGCCCCCTGGTGGTTACTTTTATTTATAGGGTTAATGTGTTTGTATTGGGGTACATTGCAGATGTGACCTAGATACTATTTTCAGTGAAATATAATATTTTGTCAATGTTACGTGTTCTCATTGAGCCCCTTTATGTAGAATTTTTGTATAATTAATTTCCCATACCAATCATCATGATCGCACAGTATGATTAGAGCTTGTTTATTCAGGGTTCCTTTTGTGTATGTATTTTATTTAAACATCTATATTTCCTGTTAAATTAGCTATGGCCCAGAGCTGTGGTCCCACAACATAAAGACGTTGACATCCTCTGTCCACTTATTTCTAAGTGGACAAATACACATACAGGTACAAATACTGCATAGTCTTACACTGTTTAGCTTGGTTTGCAGCATTCAGTGAAATACATGTCAATGAGCCAAACAATATTCCCTATCAATAATTGGCCATCAACTTATTTGCAACTACTAGAACCTATTGTTGCTTCAAATTACAAACCTTTTACTGGTAAAGCAATGGAAGACTTTTACTGTGAAGCAGCTACACACACACCCATTCACAATTAGTCATTGAATCATTAAGATATAAACTATTAGATCCTGTACAAATTGACTCTGATGCATTTCTGTGATTGGCACATATAGTGGGAGAAGGTAAAAACATTTTTCAGCATCTTTTATTGGACTGAATTGGCTGCCACGTTTGAATTCCTCATCCTTTGTTTTAATACATCAACCGTCAGATCAAGAGCTGCATTACCTCAAACATATATAATAAAGATAAGCTGCATCTTTTACAGTGCCATCCCTGTTCATTATAGACTCTGATCATGGTTGCACCTCATGTCAAAGGTATCTCAACCGAATGGAAATCTGTCATACAGTGAGTTCATCAATTATCTATATAGCCTCTAAGCTAATGCATTCCTAACAAGTTTCAGTAATACAAACCATGATGCAGGGGGTTCATGAAAAAGTACCTTTTAGCTGTAAATCTCCAAGAAACTACAGCGAAACTACAACAGCTGGAAACTGGTA